TAAAGCACACCCTAAAATTTTTACTCCGACAAACAACCATCAATTCATAATTATGAACTTGTAATATAATATTTTCCGGGGTGATAAGATAAGCTCTTAGAAAATCGTCTCCGCCATAGAAATTCAATTAGCTTTTTTACACACTTCCTCTCACTTACTCTCTAAGTGCAATCGTGGTGGTTTGAATATTCCACTGTGTGAGCACACAGATGAGAAGTTTGGTTTCGAATATTGTATGCAAAATGTGTATTCTGCTATTACTCGAGAATGTTTATGCTCATACCCACTGGCACTCAATGTGAAGAGTTGTTGGCTATAAAATAGAAATGTAGACACTTTCCCATAATCACGATGGAGAATTCTACTACATAAACATGCGATGATGGGTGTCAATTGAATCTAGAAAAGTGCAATCCTTTATTTGTAAAACGGAAACCCAACCGTTATTAACATTAAACACTGTTAAATACATTTTTAAAGCCATCAATCTCCTTTTGAGAATGTCAACAATTAAACGTGCAAACAAATCGTCAGCCTCTCGCAGCTATTTCCTTCAAATGAAGATGAAGATATCAGCCAGAAATGGTGATTCTGTGTGAACAGCGTGGGAGGGCTGTTGAGATTTTCTTCGGAGGAAAGCTCCCAGGAAGCGTACAATTCGCCAATATTTGTCTGAATCGTAAAAATTGTGTTATCTGATACAACTCTGGGGGCATAAAAGTGGAAGGGGTTCATAAAATACATGCTTTCAAGCATATTGACTCACCGCACAGAAGTTTCAAATTGGCAATCGCAGACTAAGAAGTTGCTGAACTCTATAGTGACCAAAAAACTGAGCGAAAAGCAGTCAATGCAAATGAACCAAACTAATGTAAACTGTCATTAGCAAACATTTTCCATCATTCATAGCGTTCACGTAAGAATTCACGAATTTGTAGAGACAAATACACAGTGTTTAGGAGAACTAACATTTTGGTTGTAAAATATAAGCACAAGGTATAATCAAGCCGTTTACAGCATTGAGAAAAAGATGATAAATGCGAACAGTAGAGTAATTTAATACTTCAAATTGTTATAAAATATTTTTATTCACTTCTATTGTTTGAATTATTATGATGAATATGAATTCGTCTGAAGCATCGTCGGAATATTCACATTTCAATGCTTTGGGATCTCTTTTCTCTGTGAAAAATGCGATGAAAAACACAGACCAGGGAGAGAGAGCATTAAAATGCCATTATGTAGAAGCTCTTTCTCTCTGCTCGGTAGCGAAAGCTCACCTCGTCATTCAGCATCATTTGCCCAAACAATTTGCATATGGAACATTTATCAAATATGAGGAACTTTTCTGCGTTCGCACGTGAGTAGGAGTCATTCCTGGACGAAAGGCAGTGGTAACAATCACATGCTGAATAAGTGAAAATTAACGAAAATGCTGAGCCCAATGTCCCGTGAATATCTTGAGGCTATGTACATGTACTTCCATTTGAATTCACACAGTTGCGTGCTGAATGCTCATTTTGGTCGTCAGAGCCGTCAGTTAAATGATAATTAGGCTAACACCACCCAAAATCCAACCAATGGCATGTTATTTCTCAGCATTGAACTCTCGACCGTGTTTTCGATAGGAATTTCCTTTCAGTTCCCGGCAAAATGCTCTCACTCTCCGATGTAATTTTCTCAGCAACACAAAGACTGCTTTTGCCCCAATCGAGACACATTTTGAAATTAATTGAATTGTATGATTGATGGGATTAAATTAGAGTTTAAGCTGAGTAGAATTCCGAGTTGATCTGACACTGCGGGGAAGGCTATAAAACACTAAAATTTCTGGTCACCCTCGAATACAAAGAGGTTTATCACTTGCCAAAATGTCCATAAAGCCGTGTAGAATATATGTTTGAATGAGGCTTTAAAAGCTTTCATTGGGAAACCTCCCGAGAAATGGTGTTTCAGCACGATACTCACTCTACATTGTCATTGTTCGTCGATACTATCACGCACCACGATAAAATAGCGTAATTAATTGTGAAAGCTATTGAAATTGAATACTATACATATCTGTTCAGATCTTATATCAAAATTCAACACTTTTGATATTTTATTTTTTATGCAATTTATTACACCGCAAATGCATTTCCCTTTGGACTGTGTGCATTTTTTTTATTTCCCCATTTTCCTGCAAATTTACCCACAGGGAAAAATATAGCACTGTGTGATTCTATCGCTTTATATTCTGCAATTTTACTCGTTTTCATCGATGTATGTAAATTATGTTTTTATTCAACAATTTCGCTATGCATTGTGTGGGATTTTTCGTCGCTCCTCTGCTAATGATAATGCCAATTGATTCATGAATGTTTTCGAGTGTTATGATCTCTAGAAATTAGCGCACTTTGTACGTGACTGAATTAACACAGAACTCTTTTCTGCAACTCCCTACCCTATGACTATCGATCACGCACTGTTGCACAACACGAAACACGCCTCACGCCCTCCAGGCTCCTGCGGGCGGAACTGCAGAGCTTGCGCCGAAGGGGGGCGATCAAGATCGAGGCTGGATCCCTCGACAGGCCCACAATCGAGACGCAGCGATCGTGCTCTCGGTGCTGCTCGGAGCTCGGTCGGATCATTAATCGGGGCGCCCCGTGCAGGTCGTGTCGCCTGCGCGTTTGTAAGGCCTGTCGTGAATTCACGACGCGCACGACCGATTGGGTCTGCATCGTGTGCCATAAGCAAATGTGAGTTATCACTTGATGTCGTCACCCCATCCTGTCTGCAGTGTCACATCAGCACCGTGAATGTTGACCATTTAACAGTAAAGATATGTGAGGAAGAATCATACAAGCATTTCTCATGGATCATTGGATGGAGTTTCGACCATTTATTCGCCTTAGTGTAAATTCCAACCATCGGGTGAAGCAGAAATAAGATATTGTGCAAGAATCACACCATATGAGATACTCAGCAGCACAGCAAAATTCGAGGAAACGCTACCTGTCAGCTTCATATAGATCAAAGCTGCAGCGAGTAGTGCTTTCGCGAAGTCTCCCGCAAATCTGCGCGTTTGTAATTAATTTGGAAGGACGAAGTACCACCATCAAGCCATCAGCAAAAAAAATGTACTTCTGTGTTGACTGCACACTTGAATTTGTTGGTGTTGTTGCTCAAAGAGCTCCAGAAAACGTTCATTAAAAAAATGTTTTCAGCTCCACAACTTGCTATTAGTGATAGCAAAACAGCTTCTGATAGCTGAGATTTTATCCATTTTACATACAACCCTTGTACAGATGTTATATGTATGTCTAGTCGTCTACATTTTCCGCGTTATGCATTAACATTGTACATAGTGAGCTTCTGGTGAAATATTTTTACTTCATACTGTTTTCCATCTGTCTAGGAGTCTTTCATCTTTCCACAAACTGAAAGACATTTCAAACATTATTTTTCAGACTGAAGAATTTTTCTACTTTTTCTCTCTATTTCTTTTTATATTATTAATTAGAATAAACATCTTTTTGCGCATTACATCTCTTTCAAAGCAATGCTTTTGTGAATACTTTCTCAAAATATACTGCTTGTGTAGTAAAGCAATGGGAAAAACTTTTCGTTTCCAACACACATAGGAAAAACAGTTTTGAAATAGTGTAAAGGGAAGAAAAGTTGCCTAGAGGAAAGAATTTTGCATTCGTCTATTTGTGTGTTCTCAAAGAATTTTTCTGAAATTCATATCCCTTTCTGTAAAATTTACATGTAAAGTTACAAAAGATCCTTTCTCAACCTTAGGTATATTCATGCTGTTATTGCAACACAGTAAAAGTATTATTTGTGGCCAATAAAGGCACTCAAACAATAAAACTTTTATTGTACGTATCGCTATATTGAATAAAGCAGGAAAACAGAGTCGAATCTAAAGTTAATTAATGTCCCATTATTAACAAGTCACTGATTTAATTAATTCCTTCTCCCAGGACGAACTTTTCTTTGTTTGTCCATCTTCATTATCATTTGCGGACTGATTCGAGTTATTGGGGTAATTAAATGAATACATTATAATGCAAGTTTCTGCTGCCATGTTTTTTTCCTCCTCTGTGCCAAGCTGTGTGCCATTTGAATGGATATTTTCGGGAATATTTTCAATCGATATCGCAAATCACTTGACCTGTAGGTGGAGAGAATTTGGGTTAAGGGCAATTGAAAATGGTCCATATGATGATATGAACTTGTTCTCTACACTGTTTGAAATATACAACCCACCTCATCTCCACTTGTGTCACATTGTCACGGTACATTGTGCCACTTTGCAATAGACTTTCTGAGACAAACTAAATACATTCACATTGAATACATGACAAACTTTGATTTTATATACATATTATTATTATTTTACCTATACTGTATGAGCTTCCCTCACAACGTTTCCTGGACATTTTCAATCAATAATTTTATTGTTTTCACATGCATATACAGAGCAATATGCATATAGGCAGGAAGATAGTGGAGGTCCTTTGTTTGCCATCATAGGGAAAAAAGCCTTTCATTCCTGTGGCTTTAATTAAAAATATGTTTCATCGAGTCTTAAAATCTATTAGATTGCTGTTGGTTCATACATTTAGGTGGAATGTGTTGAATTCCATTAACGTGGATTGAGTCCCTTGTTCTATAGAGTCACACATTCAGAATTTTTAAACATAGCCTCCTAAAGTGGTATGGTAGAGTTTTAGCAGCACGGAATAGATTGAATTTTAATCTTGATATGGCCACAAAGTGATTTTCTATTTGCGCAGAGAGGAAAAAATCGATCAAGAGACATTGTACTGTAAATATTACTATTAAATTATTATTTCGTCCATTGTCTGGACGAGCAAATGGAATTACACAACCTCATTAATGAACATAATGTTATACCTCTCCCTCAATTACCTCAGTCAGGGATAAAGAGTGGTTTCCTTCCTAATTAAGTTCTAATGCTATGTCTCTTTTCTCTCTCTCCATCGCAGGGAATTGCAATCGGCCACTGGTGAGTGGATGAATGAATTCGCCAGAGGACCACCGCGTCGAGACTCTGCGTCTGAAGTGATTAAGAAGAGCATCCGGAGGTCCTGGACAATCTCAAGTGAGCTTTCTGGTAGTGCTCAACCCGGTGAGCTGCCGCTTAATGGCTGTTGCTTGATTTGCAGGTCCTCAGAACGAATATTTGCCTCATATCCGAAACGGTGCTGAATATAGGAACTACTCGAGTTTGCCACCCAGCCAAGAGATAAGCAACTATCCATCTCTCATGCAACATCAACTGTCAGCTCAAATGCAGTTCAGCGGTGATAAAGCTCAGGACTATATCGATGATGTCAATTATCAAGATGTACCGCAGCAGCGGAGAATACTAAGACAATCCACGTTGCCAAATCCCGAGGTGAACAATTACTTCGGGAACAACAATCTGCTGCCGCCTGGCTCGCCCAAGCAGCAACTCAGTCCGCAATACAGTCCCTATAACACAGACAATGAGAACATGATGGACCTGTCGGACCAGGAGGTGCCGCCCGCCGCGGCACCGCCGCCGCGATTCACAATTAGACGCCAATCGACGCTCCCGTGCCGGCCAAACGAACACCACGCCTCAGTTAAGTACTCATCCACGAGTCCCAGTCGCAGTTTCAGCCGATCGCCCGAGAAGAGCGACTCGGACCAGCCGCGATGCCCACCCTTCAGAAGACAATCAACCTTTCCCTCCAACTCTTCCGAACAACTCTACCCGCCCCATCAGCAGCGTCCCAAACTCCTGCCCACATCGCCCAGCCGACTCGTGTTCTCTAAGTCCCCGGACAGCTCGGGCGAGACCACGGAGCAAGCTGTGCGCTATCAAATGATGAGACAATCCACTCTGCCCAATCCTGAGCAGCACATGAAGTTGCTGCCGACGTCGCCACCGAAGAAGCAACTGTCGCCACAGTACATGAAGCGATCCCCAGAATTTGCTCGGCAGAACACTCTCCCCAATCCTGATACTATGACTTCCCTGTCCATTCACCACGGCGCTAAGTTTCTTCCTATTTCGCCGCGCCAGAAGCAGAACTTCCTCTTCCCGCAGCCACAGCACCCGAGACCTTTCCTCTCACAGCAGAACTTCCCCACTATGGAGGATCAGGGCTCCACCCAATCCATCGCCCATCGCGATCAGTCGAAGATGATCAAGGTGCGAAGTCACAGCAACGAGGAGTACAGCAACTCGAGGTCGTTCGCGCCACCCGAGGGTCGGCGCCTGCTCCCTGAGATCCCCACTCGCCGGTCTCCCAGGTAAGACACTGCACAGATCCACACCCCGAAAGAGGAACCCGCACTTTGGAATACAGCGGTGGTAGACTAGATGAATTAACATGAACGCATGTGTCAGGGTATCACCCAACAACTCTCTTTTCAGGCTAGTACGCCAAGAGCACGTCAAGGAGGATCTCATTCGAAGCAATTCGGAGCAGAGATCCCCCATCAAACGTACCTTTGCAGAGGCCAAGCAGAATCTCATGGAGTCATTCGATGAGGCCTCCACGGGGCCCTATGGCGAGACTCCGCCTCGCTACTCCGACTATCCCGATCACAGGCAGATGTATCTGGAGACGGATGAGACCTACTTAGAGACCGCGTACGACGACTACGAGTCTGGCGAGCAAGGACGGTATCAAGATGAAGCGAAATGCTCGGAAGATAAGACCAAGGCGGTAAGGAGTGCTGGTCATCCAGTACGGTCAACCGAGAGTTTCCTCAATGACTCCTCGCCGGAGTACTTTCACCCAGACGAATACATCAGAACGGTGAAAAAGGAAAGAACACGCCGTAGGCGATCGCGTGAATTGATTGAGCTCGAATTGATGATGTCGTCTAACGATGAGGAACCGGTAAGACCCAAACCAGAGACAATGCGGTCAATTAGCGAGGATTCTGGAACACGTCCCGTTAAACCTGTTACCAGAAGGTCTCTTTCACATCCTGAAAGGGGAGACGGCCAAGTGGGTTTTCCACATTAGATTTTTTTTATCTGTGTTCGGTGTTTGAAGTAGTTGAAATTGTGGCAAGTGAGCTCTTGAGTATTAACTGCAATTTTCCTCTCACATTAGATCTTCAAGCGATCCGATACTGTGAAAGTTCCTAGCCCAAAGCCTCTGGCTGACTTGCTGGAGAAGCAGAAGAAGGAGAAACTATCTAAGCTGCCATCACCTCGTCGTAAGAATTACAAATCCCTCGATTTGCCGGACTCAACACTATCAGGTGAGTTGTGACTCTCGTAAAGTTGATAGAACACTCAGAGAGAGATTCCTCGTTCATCTCACATTACACCAAGAAGGACATGTAGAACTTTTGCCATCCTGTTGTGACAGTATAAGCCTTGGCAATTGGGAGGAAATCCCAGATATTGAATATTGCTTCTCTTTGGCTACACAATTTTTTCTCTGAGTGTAGAGTGGATGCATTTCCTGAACATGGCAACTTTTTATCAATACTTTTACTCACTCTCCCAATGACATCCGCATGAATTTCAGCCCCGAAGGCGGTTCCGCTGCAGAAGCGAGATTCGCGCAGCCTGGAAGCTGTAATGAAGACGGCGGCAATGAGTGAGCGGCTGCGAAATGCACTCGACGATAACAAATCCCAGTCGCTGGACGAGGGCATTTTTAACGAATCCGACGAGCGGAAGGCGAGCATCTGTGATGAGGAGAAGCGAAAGCTGCCAGAGGTGAGCTCTCGGAATCTCTTTTATGCATCCTATCTCTATATGACTGGTGTGGGTATAGAGCTAGGGCTAAGGCGCGCAACAGTGTGTAATGCCGGATTCTAGGCGCTTTAATTGCACGGGCATGAGTTATGGCTGGTGGCCGGAGGAGCTTTCATTACAGCAACAGGGAGAGCATAAAGTCGCCTCTGGGCGGTCATGCTGAGCAGTCTGGAAGCGCCTTTCAGCCCACCTCACGCTGTGCCTTGATTGCATGGCGGGAAGAGTGAAAGAAAGCACTATTTGTGTGACGTCATGTGAGCTTAAGAAAAACCTCCCGGCGACTCATCATGTCTCATTAGTAGTTGCCTAGACAAAGATTTCTAATCGGAGGGGCAATTTATCTACATGTAACACCGCTTCTGTTGATATGTGGAAAAATGGCAAATTATTATTAGCAAATCTGCAGTCAGAAACACTCATTTTGCTTCACTCTCTCGATTTCAGCACAAAACAACATTGGGCGAAGCAGAGATTCAGAGCGCTGTTGAGGCGGCAGCCGTGATTTTCAAGAAGGTCGTTCTCCAAAGACGCAACGCCAAGAAGGCGGCCGAGGAGGGAGGTGAGGCGATCATTTCATTTAAAGTTTCAGCTTGGCGAGAGGAAAAATATCTCTCTTGCTATCCAGTTTCTAATTAACCGGTGATGGCTATCGACTATCCAAGAAAACTTTATGCAACCAAAGTTGCTCCACGCAATTCAATCTCCTCCTGATTCCTTGCTATATTTAAACAGTGTACATACAGTGTTATACCTAGTGGGGTCTTGGTGGAACTGTGCTGCTTGCAACTGTTTAGAGGGTAGATTGTTTTTCTTGCTAACAGTGAGTGAAACGGGAATTATTCATATAGAAACTTACTACAACTTCCAACTAACTATTCAATATTCCGCTTGACAAATCCTTATGGCTTTTGGGTGCTGGTGTTAAAGTGGAGTTTTCGAATACTTGTGCAGTGATAAATCACGTTTTTACACATTAAAACTCACATTATCGTACTCAGCAGCATTTATTAGGAGAGTATAAAGTTTCTCAACATACAAAAAATACATGAGTTATTCATGAAATGTGCTCCGGAAGGAATTCTGGTGGAGAGCAAAATATTCAAGGTTAGGGAAAGTCTTAGTAAGACATAAAGTCCTTAAAGTCTTATTGAGGTAAATTTTGACAGTTGAGTCTGAAATTTAAAGATTTTAATCGAGCTTTTTACCTTCGTTTCTCAATTCCATGCCATTTTCATTTTGTCGGCAGTCTTCTTCAGAGGATGGCAATTAAATGGCATTTACCTCTTGTTAATCTTCCCCAAGAATGAAGTGTCGAAAGCGAAAATGGGCAAATTGTCAATGTGAGTAAAATGTTTAAACGACCATCAATACGCGAGTAAAAATAATTAACGCTATTACGTTGTATCAATACGGCAAATTTAGCTGTTTCGTTTGCATTTTGCGCTCCACGGCAGCTTCATTCATTACTTGATGACGACACGAATGTCTTTTCGCTGATCCCACATGAAAACGACACCAGTGGGATACAACGAGATTACGTTTGACTTGCAAGTAAGGGCGTGTGGGAGCCTATTTGAATATATCCCCAAGTGCAGCGAGCGACACAGAGTGTATTATTTATATGGTAATGAGCTAAAATGACGAATTAATTTCGTTCGCTGGCTTTTATTAAACAGCGCCGAAAATGTTTTGAGAGATAGTGAGAGGGTGTATAGGGAGAAGCGAGGGCGTGTAATGGCATTACGAATTATGCCAGTGTAATTATTTTTCGCAATAAAACTTCTTTTATTTCAGCATCAATTAGAAACACTTGAAATTTCTTCAAGCATGTTGATGCTCAATTTAATTTTAAGTGCCCTCAGAGGCGTAAATTTCCCCCCTTTCCAATGCGAACAGCTTTGTGAAGGGAAACTTTGTCCTGACGGTCTCCTAAATTCAGAGCTTTCACCATTTTCTGGTGTAAGGTATAATAATTTGCGGAGCATATAGTTTTTAATTATTGCCATATTTTGCTTTCATTACCTGGCAAGGCGAGTAAGTCACACAAAAACACCGCACGAGCTTTTATTTTCATTATGTAAAACAACTGCTAAGCTTGCAATGATTTGGGTCTCTTGTGGAGTCACATTTGTAGAAAGTTTGTGATACTAATTAATATGTAGTCAAAGGGTCTCTTCATTGATGCAAAACATCTGCTCTTTGCCGAGATGTTTTTCATACCGCCTCATTCGAGGATCTCTCAATACAAAAAGCTCTCAAAACTTGGGAGTTCGATGAAAAATTAAGTTTTAATGTGAGAAATGAAGAGATAAACTCGAGGGAAAATTCTTAGAATACAAAATGAATGAATAAAGATGTTTTTGAAATTCTGTTCGGTGAATTTTCTGTAAATTTTGCCTCATACATTTTCTTACACGTGTCGCTTTGTGAGCCATCGAACTCATTATCTTTAAGACAACAGAATAATAATAACAATTACGGCGTCTGATAAAAGAAGCCCCGAATAGATAAAGGTCACTCATTAGTCGGTTGAAAAACACAATAATTGATTGCCCATTCATTCCACTGTGATTGTACACCTTTATTGCCTGGTGTGACTTGATGACCAAGTTTCTCCAAACATGTCTCGGATTATTAACTCCCTCACGAAGGGGCCCCTCATTCCGGTGCATTTGCTCACTGGCGTGCGTGGATTTTCACCTAAATGACCCAGAAATCTTCCGCAAATGAAGGGGAAAAATCACATGGAAATTTGCTGAAATAACATCACCCAGTTCATTTTCTCAAGCCACCCGGCAATTTGTTTATACTTAGTAAACTGTACAAAAGAGAAGTTGAGGAATTTACCTGATTGCAAAAATCAGATACGAACGGTCAATTATGTACTTACCAAAGGAAACTGATGATTTAGATCTGGGAGTCAGTGAAGCGTTGGTGATTTATGTCAGAATCATTAGTAAATGGGGCAGAGATTTCGAAAGAGTGGCTGACTGCATTGGTGCAAACGAAGTGAAATCTCTCCTGGGTTGGCGAAAAAGAACAATTGACGCGGCGTCAACTTACCTCTTTAGTCAATTGGCGTACATGTGTGCTCAACACCTGGAATTAAGGCAGAGCAATGCTATATAATTGAATTATCGCCACATTTTATCATGTTGTAAATTCTCCAACACAGTTATGAAGTGGAAGTGTGCCAGTACTCAAGGAAAGTCTCTCTTTGGCACTTTTTCTGCCCTCCTAATTTCGATTTGTTTTGCACTCAAACCACCATATTTTTCCGCTCCAACGTCACTCCAACTGCCCTCGAGATGTTCAATGAACGATAAATTACAGTGATAATTGATAATTACAACAATTCGGCCAATTTCTTGTAATTAAGATTGAGGCTGTCTCTGCCGTTGCCCTCACTATTGCCCATTCGCTCTCTTCTGTGTCTTTCTAAACAATAAAACAAACTCACATAATTCATTTTGAGCATGACTCGATGGCACGGAGAAATGAGGGGATCAGGCATGGCCAATGAAGATGATTAGGCTAGCCGTGGTGGTTAATGGTGAGGAACTGTACAAGCAAAGTGGTCAGAAATATCAATAAAGTGTCCACTTGGCCCGTTAATTACTTTTTGGGTTGTCACAAAAGTAATTTTCTGTGTCATCCGTAATACATTAATAGATCAGCGGAAACTCAGGTCGTTCGGCATGGCTCAGAGAGTGGTGCATTCGCTGTAATTGAATCCACAGAATCCACGAGAATTGATTTATTCTTCTCTCCACGAATCTATATTTAGGATTAGCGCACATTAGAGTGAGTTACTAACATGAGCCGGGAAACTCTGTTTGCCCATGGTGGCGAGTATCCCTGGGCAGTGTGTCTGGGTGATGGCGAATGGCATTAGCATGCAATGTTTTGGGGCGCTGTGTTGTGACTAGAAAGCGAAACACATGCTTTGGCGAAGGGGTAATGAATGTGTGTAAATAGTATGGAAATTGTCTCTATCGCTCGAAGTGTGACTAACCATGCAAGTGTGGAATTGGCTGTGCGTTGAGGATGTAGGACATTGTTGGTGGTGTTTTGGGGTGAAGGGCATGGTATCTATGCAACTGTGATTAATTAGTGCGTATAATTCAGGTGACACATGTTCCGGACCGCGAAACAGGAAATCCTCCCTCATGCAGGATGATATATCAGACTATGAGAATTGCAGTGGCCTGAAGATGCTCTACCCTGACACGGATGAGTACAAATTGGTGTTCATAAGCTCAGATTCGTCCAGCAAGGAGGAGGAGTTCGAGGATAGCAGCTCCACGACCAGCTCAATCAACACGAGACATAGCTTTTCGCTGGATGACTGTGACTGGGACTATTTTGAGCCTGGTGTGGGCAGCAGGGCGATTTTCAGGGACTTCTCAGTTTCCCCCTTCGATTCGCCCAGCGTGAGGAGGAAGCACTTTAAGAGCTCTCCAATGACTTCGCCAATATTCTACAGACGGGGCCTCACTGAATCCCCCTTTATGATGAGACAGAGGCTCAGGGAGAGCGACACAGGGACGGATGAGGAGCTCCTGGCGCACGCAGAGAGCTCGTCACCCACAAGTTCTGATGGATTTATGAATCAGGAGCTGGTCTTCATGAGGAATCACAACAGGAAGACGTGGTCCGAGTGCAGCGATAAGGCGAAGAGCACGAAGAAGGAGTGCACATGTGGAGGGACGACGGTCTTTGTCCCTATTCCCGTCCTCATTCCACCCAACTGGAATCCCTCAGACTTGCTGGTGCAGCCCGAGGAGGTGGAGGATTCGCTGGCAAAGCAGAAGCTGAAGGCTATTCAGCAGCGCCAGGTGGACATCTTTCAGCTGTGGAACAGTGCGGCGCTGGTGCACCAGCAGAAGGGCGAGGGAGAGACAGATAGGCATGAAACACAAGCACACAGAGCCGAGGGAGGCACCACAAGTGCGTCTGGTGTGTTTCGCAACACCGAACCCGGTCAGTGCGATCGCAGCGAAGGCAGTACCGGTCCGACCGTCGAAGACTCAACAGCAGAGTCCAAAGCCGAGGCCCAAGAGGCCACTGAAGCGCGAGATGGTGACGCGAGTGATAAAGTGTTAACTCGCGATATTGTCGAGTCTGATAAGGCCTTATCGCTTGACGCTAAGCAGCGGAAGGTCACGAGGGACGCAGGGAGAGAGACACCTGCGGAAGGTGATTCAATTAGTGAGAGTGCCCAGACAGTGGATGAGAGTGAATCGCGCGACAAGGACATGTTATCCGTGGGCAAACTCGACACGCACGCGAGTGGGTATCTGCAGTCGGAGAGCATGTTCTCCTCCAGTGACTCTGACTCATGCGACAGCGATGAGGTGCGCAATTTGGGGCCCATCCACCGCAGTTACAACGTCACGGGGGATGCCAGTGACAATGAGGGTGACGGTGGAGTGAGTGATGTGGGCCAGAGCGATGGGAGGCACTCTGTGAGTAGTTCGGCACGCGAAGACCCCAGCTCTTCGGAAACGGAAGCCACAGATAGTGATGACACGGGAACTGTGGCGGATCGTCGGCCCAAGTCAAAGAGATTTTCGCGGGTGTTTGTGGTAAACAGGCGGGATTCCTCGTCAGACTCCCAGAGCTCGGATGGCGACACTGAGGATTCCTCGGATAATGACACAGACACTGAAAAGGATTGTGGGATTATCTTGAATTACGTGAAAGAGATTCCTGATCAGGAGGAGGGCAGTGAATCCAGTGAATCTGACAGTGAGGAGAGTGAGAGTGAGCCAGAGGAAATTAATGAGGCGGGGGATAATTCTGTGATACTGAATTATATCCGGTGCCTGGAGGACGACGACAATGACGAGACTCCGCGGAATGTTGTTCTCAACTCTGTGAAGTTCTTCAGTGAGGATGAAGTGTCTCCCCTGCTGGACAGCCTTGAGCCGCGCGAAGTCGGCGCGCAGAATGCCAATGAGGAGCCTCTGAGTGAGTCGGAGAGTGACTGTGCAGTGTCAGAGCTCGCCAGAAACTCTCAGACTGATAATATTGCACATGTGGCTGATACAGAGCGCTCGGCCAGTGTCGCCAGTGCTGTGGCTGCGGTCGAAAGTGAATGTTGTGCTGAAGCCAGTTTGGCGGGCGATGATGGATCGCAGAGGTCGAGTGTCGCGATAAGTCATGATTTGCCTGGAGAGGATGATTCCCAGAAACCACAATTCGCGTCTGTGGTGGAGAAGTCCCACGGCGTGAGTGCAGAAACTAGTTTAGAACGGGAAGAGATGGCATGTGTGGAAACTGAAAGTGCATCGAATTCTCCACCATCGGCACAGAGTGATCGAGTCACAGACACAGCGACATGCTCGGGTGATCGCGACGCGATCCCCACCACAGGTGAGAGCTCCGAACGCGACGAAGACACCTGTGAAAGTGGCGAAGGTGATCGCGATCGTGCAGTGGAGAGTGAACGGCCGAGCAGCACAGACGCCGCGCAAAATGCTCCCGCGGGTGGGACAAAGTACACAAGTCTGGTGATGATCACGCAGGACACGCGGCCCGAGCCTGCAGTGAATATCGTTGCCACGGACACCACGCGGATTGTGTCGGACGAGGAGTCTGAGGTGATTGTGCAGCACACAAACTCCCAGGAGGATGATGGGTGCAGTGATAACTCCCTAGCGGGCTACTTTATGCGCGCACTGGGCGAGGATGTGCCAAAAGAGCCGCGCCGGCGCCCCGTGAAGATTGTGAACAGTGAGGATCAGGACAAGTGCAGTGACGGTGAGGAGAAGATGAGTGCCAGTGCGATTAAGAGTGAGAGTGACGTCACCGTGGTTACGGGCGCGAATACATTATCGGCGGTCATCAGCCTAGAAGAGGGCCTGGCGGATGATGACTCTTGGGTGGAGGAGATCAGCAACAATGATGATGAGGAGTTTGGCGGTCACACTGCCACGGACTCGGATATGGACTCGGGTGAAGAGATCACGCTATCGTCCACGATAGACCGTGAAGAGGAGCTCCGCGGGTACAATCGCACAGCCATCGACTTCACCCTGCACACCATCGTGGAGGAGAGCTGCGAGGAGAGTGAGGTGGAGCAGTCGAGCATGAAGAACAAGTATCGCGTATCGGCGTCAGATCTGGAAAAGTACTTCTTTTACGGGCTGGGCGATGGGAAGCCCAGTGCTGCGCCGGAGAATCGCGAAGATTCCCTATCGGAGAGCAGCAGCATTTGCAGTGAAGGCATGGATTCCCTCGGTGGACCCGATGATCAAAGTGTGGAGCCCAATCCGGCGGCGGATTTGACGGCATCCCGCCTCGAAAAGTATTTCCTTTCCGGCTTCATGGGCTTCTCGGCTGAACAGGCAGACTCCGATGGTAGTGGCAGTGTGGGCAGCGATAGTGAAGGCAGACCGAGTCCTGAGCAACGGAGGAAGAAGCTGGTGAGGGCGAGAGGATCTGGCAGATCTCACAGCTCTTCCTTGGACAATCTGCTGGCCAAGGAAGACAGTGCTGGTGACCCGCAGATCATCAACGACACAAATGATTCGAACGACTCCTCAGAGACGGACACCTGTGATGAGAATACTCTGACCACGGACAAGCCCGATGGTCAGAGTGACACGATGAAAAGGAAAAAACAGGGCAAAAAGCGATTGGATGATCCTAAAGAGGAGAGTGACTTGTCTGATGAGGAAGACAGGAAAACTCCCCAGCCAGAATTCCTCTTGCCGCCCAATAATCTCGTGCAATCCCGGAAGCAACACAGTCGCGACAGTGGCTTTGTCGGCAGCAATGATGACCTCCTCAAGACTGACGACTCCCTGAAGTCGGAGCTGAAGGTGGAATTGGAGGAGATTGAAGAGGAGAACAGGGCAGAGATGAAGGAGACTGAGAGCTCAGAAAGTGCCACAAAATCAACACCGCCATCCGTGACGCTGACGCGGAAGGACAGCTTCAACAATTGGAGTTCTGATGAGGAAACAAATGTGATGATGTCGAGGATGAGGCAATTCTTCAAGACGCTCGTAGCGGCGAGTGCCAATGCCCAGAGTATGTCCACAAAGGCAGCCCCCACCACGCTGGCGGAGATGTCTGGTGAGTCACCAAAGAGTGGCACGCCGGTGGCAAAACCGCGGAACCGTAGCAAACCACCGCAATTGGTGTACTTTGAGAGCGAACTCACGAGGCTCATGAAGACTGTGCCGGGAATAAATGATGAGCAAGTGAGGGAGATTGTTGAGTATCTGAGCAGTGAGGACACTTGGTCGGATTCCTACGACTCCTCAGACTACACGAGCTCAGATTTGGAGGGCGCGGGGAAGAAGCCCAAGAAGTCTGAGCTGCAGGAGCAAATCTCAGCCAGTTGCCAGCAGATTATAAATAAATTCGACAGCACTGTTGATCACGATGAGGAGGGCGATCGAGGGGATGGAGGACTGCTAATCGGGGACACGCCTGAGAATCAAGGACTGAACAGAGAGACTGCTTTTGTCTATCAGAAGTTGGTGGCATCTTTCTCAAAGATTGCAGCCGGCGAGGAAAAGCCAGCTGCGACGGGATCTCCGCCAATCTTTGCAAAAGTTATTCACCATATCGGCAGTCGGTTGGTGGCTTTGATGCATGAGGTGAGCAGCGGAGAGTCCCACACCAGCTCCTCTCCTCGTGGAGCAGCATCTCGTCATCACAGACGCCTTCAGGCGAAGATTTCAGCCACCACGACGGAGGATGACGATAGCACGTCTGATAGCGCTATGGAGAAGCCGGAAAAGATTACCTTTGCCCACCTGCCGCGCAGTAAATCGCACGATTTGCTTCTGGGCGAATCACGACCGCCTCACCATCAGTCAAGCAGCGGAGTCAGTGACACGGCGGCGGAGGAAAAGGAGGCCAGCGATTATGAGCGCTTTTCCTGGCGAGGGAGTTTTGAATCCGCCCTTCTGGCCAACGGCGACTCCCGCACGAAGCTCACCCTGCTTGATCACTCATCATCGGCCAGTGCCTTGGCCGCCAAAAGACGCTCCGCTGGGGATCTGCTGTTTAACCAGAAGAGTCTCAGTCGCGAGCAGTTGGATCGCGTGAGATCATGTGGAAGTATAGGAGGTGGGATGGACCACGAAATCGAGGGATCGAAGCTCTGGGGATCGTCCACGAGCCAGAAGAGTGCCCGCCGACGCTCAAGTGTGCCAGATGCCGCCTGCGACTCAGACAATGACTCATCTGAGGATGAGCGGAGATTCGCCACGCGCTCAACACTGCCACGAAGTCTGCAGACCACAACCTCGAGCAGCACCAACTCCCTGCCTCGGCTCTCCACATCCAATCTGACCAGCTCATCGAAGCAGCACAGCGTCTACCACTTCCTGCAGAACAATGTCAAGAGTGCGCGATATCGTGCTCCCGGCTTCACTCGTCCCAGTTCCGTATCGAAGAAGGCCCTTGCGGCTCCTGGTGTGCAGCACCAATCCCTGACGTCGATGTACCAGCGCCGGGATGGGCGTCGCAAGGTGCAAAATGTTCACAGTGTCGGTGAGTGTCTTTACACAAAGTATCTATATAAGTTGGACTTTCACTGCTCGTCCAATCGAACTTTCTAAATCAATCTTAAGGCGCATTAAATCTCACAACTTACTGATAAACTCGCTATATTGAACTTCCTGCTGATTCTGCGGTGGTTCAGTGCAGAGAAAGAGTTTTAGTGGCGGAGAGAAACCGCATCTCAATGTTCAGCATTTGCGTCAGTTTATGAGCCTTAATTAGGTGAAATTCATTTAGAGAGAGATAGAAAAACCGCTGAGGCACAGGGCTTCTCTGGCGTGACAATGTCTTGAGCAATTTTCATGTTATGAGGTGAGCATCCGACAGAAAAAAATGAGTCTGTTCTACCTCGTTTACCGTCGTAATCTCCACAGAGAGAGGTCTTTGTATATGGCATGTTATGTGGAGGAATTGCAAGAAATAGGGGCAGTGGAAAAGTAGATTTTTCTCTCAATTCTCCATCTGATTCAACATTGATTATCCCCTCGAAATTTCAAGGTGAAGACATATTTCTTTAATTATTAGTCAAGCACGACTTTTTTCTGTCTCTATAAATCTTTCTAGTCACGTTTAATAGTCCCTGAATGAGAAGCGAATTCATATACTTTTGAAATAAAAAGTCATTTCCTCGAATGATACTTCAATATCCTCCCCACCTTTGCTTCCGTACTCATGGAAATCTCAATTTCTCAACATCCGAAAGCCATTTATTTTTCCCTCCTTAATCCCAAGCATCGTATGATCTTGGCATAAGAGTTGTGAAAAGGATGAAAATCATATTTGACGTATGAAAGGAAAGTGGTTGTATACACTTTTAATCCCAGAAATATGTACTAGCAAATTAATGGGGAAAATTGTTGAAATGTGGCTCAAAGAAATCCCACGAATTTCAAGCAAATTCTCTCTGTTTTAATATCACGGAGACATTTTGACTAATCTCACCGAAGTGTGTGTGTGTTTTGCCGAAATTGGTGAAACGAGATACTCAAGTTGTCGCCTACCAAAAATGTCGAAATGTTGATTTCCGATGTGTTTGCTGTTGCTTTTGTGGTTTTGCGCGAACAACGCGGAAAATACCACACACTAATCATGGATTTTCTCAACTTTCAATTAAAGCGCCTCGGCTTTGGGTGTAAATTGAACAAGCACCGTAAATTACAATGGATTTTCAGGGGCTGTTTGTCCCCAATTGCTGTAGCACTCAAGCTTATTTTTGCTGAGAAGCACTTTTTTCCAAGAGGCGGACAGGAACGCCCTTTTGGAGGTCAATAAATGGACTCGGGTCATGGGGATTTATGCAAATGTGTTTAAGTAAGACAAAAGAGGTATAAAAGCTTTAATATGTACCTAATCTAGTGCTTACAACATCTCTTTTAGATGCTCTTTTGCAAGCATGGATATAATACGATCTCTCCACAATACAAAATGTGATTTTACCGCTCGGACTTGTCACTTTAATGTACGAGAAGAGTAGAGAAATTGATTGAAATGTATTGCAATTTTTAATAGAGAAGTGGAGTGTAATTTTGCAAATTGCTACACAGTCTAATTGAGAAGAGTATTTTGTGGGAATTGAATGAAAGAAATTTCAATTTCAACGATCATGTACAACTAATCTAATGAAATTTCACTTAAAATTCAGACAGTCCGCCAAGTCTTTCAACTTTTGCCCCACATTTTCCATCTCACCAACATGTGGGCCGTGTATTGGGTGGTTTTTTGTGGCTCTCCGCGTTCTCAAATATTAAAAGAAATGTGAAATAAAGGCAATGTAGTATTACACGAAGAGCATCACCGATTCATCTTCACAATGAAGGTGACATCATCGTAAACAACACATAAGGCCGTTGTACAATTAAGCGACTCGCAAGCTGTATTTTCTGCAGATTACCCACGAAATGCGAATGTGAATGCTCTCTCTATGTATTGGGATGGTACAATGGTAGAAAAATAAGCCACAGAGAGTAAAAATGACGTAACTTTTGTTTTGTTCACTTTGCACGAAAATTGTTTGTTACACTCAGAGCCATGGAGGACAGAGTTTTGTGCGAGCAAGAGAGGGAGAGAGCATGGTATGTTACAAAGTCAGAATTCGCGTACATAACACCAGCATACAGTGCTGTAGAAGTGGAAAAACAATAGAGACAGAGTTTCGGCTGATGTGTCTCGCCCCTTTTGTATTTTGCCCCTTGGCTCACGTGAGGCGACGCGTTATGGGAAGTGTGGGTCACAGCGCTCGTCCACCCTCGCAGAATGAGCAATGGTGGCAATTAAGGGTCTCGTGGACAAATTATTTCATCAGCGACTTAAATATATAATTTGTTTTTTGCCCACCTGGGACGGCAAAGCCTCTGTGGCGACACGTAGATGTGCAACTATATGAACATAGAGCAGAGTACATATATACTCATACAGACACTCTTTTAGACTTGTATCCGCATTTTTGCCACATTCACTGATATTACACTGAATGTGGAGGGATAAAATTAATCACGCTGATGATATTAAAATTTTTGGAATGTGTTTGCGGATGTTCACCTGCTCAATGCCTGTTAACGCGAAAATGTAGAGAAAAAAAAACATGTACATCAAACCATGTTGTGGCATTGCCCTTTTTTTGTTACTTGACTGGCTTCACTGCAAAATACTATTTGGGCGCAAAGTTGTATACGAGAAACACAGTTTTTCAATTTATGGTGGTTTTAAATAGAAAAAGTTACTTCCTAATTTCTGGGGAAAACACCCGTGTGCACCTCAGACGATTTTCAATGCTACAACTTTGAGATTAGTTGGCAAAATGTGTTCTTCAAGCCACAGAACAACTCCCCACCATATAGTAGTTGGAAAATGTCAATTTCAAAGTTTAACATACACGTATTTGTGTTGAAATCATAGAGAGTAAGAATCTGAATTGCTCTTGACGCATGAATTTATCGATAAGCTCTTGCAGAGCTTTGCAGTTTCGGGTCCATCACAAGTTTTCAATGAATATATATAAAGACTCTAAAAGTTTCCGATGGTATCTCAATGTTTCCTGCATATTCGTCAGAATTCCCCGAAATCATGCTGTGATTTAAAATTCAAAGTTGCATATTGAAAAGCGTTTTCTGTGTATTCAAATTCTACATTTCCTGTCTGTAAAATCTCCCTAACTCTCAAACTATTCGATACTTTTTGCACCGACACACAAATAGAGTGTCTGAAATAGAAGCACTGCATATAAAACACTTCAAACGATAATTAATTTACAATCATATCAGATTCTGAGAGTTGTAAAATTTAACTAATTAATTGGACTTTTCAAAGCAAATACGGAGGGAATTCCCCAGTATGAAATTGCTTCGCAATTTTAGCAATTAATCACACTTCAAATAGCCTCAAATGTCCGAGCAGGATCTGGACGCAATGGGCATTTAATTGATGCATGTCTGCTATCTTTGCACATGATTGCGATGTGGTCAGAAACTTCTTGCGATGTACGCAATTGACGAAGAATTGCAAAGCAGCCGTGTACAAAATGCTGTGTTGCACATATTATATAATCATCACATGCCCATTCTAATTAGTAGTTTCAATTACCGAATTCACGATGCCGCAAGCGAAACCGTCTGCAAACAATTCAAGAATCAACCTCAAAGCATATTTTGCCATGTGGGAGGGGAAATATTTGCACTGCCTTTATTTTCATTACCACACAAGTCTCTTTGAGCAACGTTTGAAGTCAGAATCTGCATGGCAGTCTATCTTTTTAACTCCTCTTGCACGGGAATCAATTAGTGAATCTCATCCTGTGACTGAGATTTTGCAATTCTGCCATTGAACAGCTTTCTTTGTGCTCACATCGAATTCACAGCTGTGCAGAGGAGCGCACATATATCTTACTTGTATGTCGATAAATGATTTATTTGCACTGTGAAAATGGAAGTAAGGATGAATTGAAAATTCGATATGGGATCTTCACATCATTCACAACACTTTGTTTCATGTGTTTATTTGCCGAGTGCCCATATTTCCATCTGGAAAATATACATAAAACTTATGTGCTCCATCGTGTTATGGGCGCTGCTTGAGAATATTGCTTTCACGCTACCATCAAAAATTCCCTCTTCGAAAATTCAATTTTTTTTCATCCAATTGCATATATGCGAAATCCCCAAAGTGTCTTTCTTCAAGGCTTCACTATGTTGTATTGTATTTATTGCGGTCAGAAGATGAGACATTCCATTTAACGCTATCACTCCACAGCAATGAATATTTAAGCATAATCTCTCTCTACATCCTCTTCTACTTTATATACATAAATTTTAGATGTGGATATGCTTTTTGCAAATCTCATTCTCCTGGCGAAGAGACTCAATCAAGGAGAGTCTCTTGAATTTCAAGAGAAATTTTGGAGCAAAAACACCACACTAAAAGTTTATATGGGACAATTTTCCATATCCGTTTAATTAGATGGAATCTATTGTTTTTTTTTACCAAAAAATAGTTGTTTTATTGAAAAAATTACCATGCCCGGAAAATTAGTCAGAGATTGCAAATTGTCATGAATATAGTTAACCTGGAATTAGAGAAATAACTGTTAGTGAAGTAAATTAAAATTTGCAAGGAAAAAGTAAATGATTTTGAATGTCTCCTCGGTTTTTTGAACAAAACAACAGATAAAAACAACAAAATTTAATTTACTGTATGAAAGCTGCAATGTTGAAAATTGCCAGCATTTTTATATGAACTTTCCCTTGATCTTGATTTTTCAATGGGTTATAAAATTCTTCATTCGCTATATATTTTTCAAAACAATATTTACCAGAGAAATCATCTTGCATATCAAAATTATTAGGCGAAGAATTTGGGCTTTCTATTCGTGAATTTTCCACACCCAAAAGTCAACAAGAAAGAGTCATTTTGGGCAATTCATGGTTTCAATTTCAGAGTGAATTCTTGAAAAGATCAAAAGTCATCTCGCTGAAAGTGAGAAAGATTGCTGTATTTCA